TACAGGCGTGCACCACAACACCGGGCTTTTTTTTTTTTTTTCCCCTTTGGTCTTTTTTGAGATTTCCTTTTCTTTTTTTTTCAGACAGGGTCTTGTTATGCAGCCCAGGCCGGCCTAAACTCACAGCGATCCTCCTGCTTCAGCCCCCACGCCTGGCTCTCGGGTTTTAGTTAAACTCACATCTCAGGAGAGCGCCCAGCTGTTCACAGAGGGAGCTGACAGGAGGTGGGCAGCCCAGACACTCCTCCCCCGCACACACAACACGTCCCAGATACACACGCAGCCTTGACAACGCTCCCTTTATTGAACGGCAGTGACAGAAGGCGCTGTGTGCCCTCCCCGCCCCCGCCGCGCACCCCCAGCCCAGCCGGGTCTCTTGTCCACGCCGCTGCGCAAGTGCAGCCCCCAGTACCGCTTGGGGACCAGGGCGGTATCCTGGGGGCCCTGCGCCCGGCCCCTGGCCACCCCGCGGGGCCCCTGCCTCGGGCCCTGGGGGCCACGGCGGGCACAGCGGGCCTCCCGGGAGCTCAGGGCCGGGTCCGCCGAGGCAGGCTGGTCTTGAAGAGGGACTTGCCCGAGGCTTCGATGTAGGTGACGGTCATTTCCTTGGCGCCGATCTCCACGTAGGCAAAGCCGCCCAGCGAGTCCTCGGAGCCGTAGTGGAAGCGCAGGTAGCCGTTGGGGACTTTGCGCCGGTGCTGCACCGAGGGGTCCATGAAGTTCCCGGCCCCGCTCAGCACGTAGCCAATGCCGTTCTCGTCTTGAAGGTACTGGGGACACAGGACACAGGTTGGGGCAGCTGCAGCCCGGAGAGGAGGCTGCTGGGGTGGGGGGAGGGGTTCACCCACACGGGCCACATCTGTTCCTGATCCCAAAGTGTTAGTTTTATTTTATTTTACTTATTTCTTTAGTGTCTTTTTGAGACAGGGGCTCGCTCTGCAGTTCAGGCTGGCCTTGAGCTCACTTTGTAGCCCAGGCTGGTCTCGAACTCCCAACGATCCTCCTGCCTCAGCCTCCCGGGTGCTGGGATTACAGGTGTGCGCTCCCACACCTGGCTATTTTATTTATTTTTTAAAACAGGGTCTCTCCACATAGCTCAGGCTGGCCTTGAACTCACTATGGAGACCACCCCGGCTGTCCTCAAACTCCCAGCAACCCTCCTGCCTCAGCTTCCTGAGTGCTGGGAGGCCAAGGGTGCCCTGTGCCTGCCCGCTCCTCACCTGCAGGTTGTGGTCATGGCCACACAGGTAGGCGGTGACCCCGTAGGTGGCCAGCAGGGGCCGAAGGTGCTTGACCAGGCAGCGGGTGGGCCCGTGCTCAGCGATGGACCACACAGGGTAGTGGCCGGCCACCAGCACGTAGTCCTCCTTCGCCGCGGCCAGCTGCTTCTTGAGCCAGGACAGCTGCGTACGGGCCACCGCCGGGTCCCGGGGCCTCTCAGGCTGCTGGCTCAGGAAGTCATCCGAGTTGCCACACAGTGTCACCGTGTCCAGCATGAAGATGGCCACAGTCACGTTGGTCCGCGGGATCTTGAAGTGCAGGCGGTAGAAAGCGCTGGGGAAGTTCCTGCCGGGGGAACAGAGGCCGTGGGTGGAAGTTTGGGGCAGAGAAATGTCAGGGCCACAGCCCGCTCAAGGAAAAGATCTTTTTAAAAAATTGATGTGCTTAGTTTTTTAACCGGAGATTGAACCCAGGGCCTTTGCACTGAGCTATGTCCCTAAAGCTTTTTTAAATTTTATTTTGAGATGGTCTCCTTAGGTTGCTAAGTTTACCAGGCTGAGCTTGAACTTGTGATCCTCCTGCCTCAGCCTCCCAGAGTGCTGGGGTTATAGACAGCTACCACTACCACCATGCCCTGATTTTTTTTTTTTTCTTTTTTTTTTTTTTTTTAAGACAGGGCTTCAAGGGGCTGGAGATTTAGCTCAGCGGCACAGGGCCTGCCTGGCAAGCGCAAGGTCATGAGTTCGATTGCTGGTACTGGAAAAGAAACAAACAACAACAACAAAAAAGACAGGATTTCACTGTGTAGTCCAGGCTGGCCTTGAATTCACTATGTAGCCTGGGCTGACCTTCAACTCATGGAGCTCCTCCTGTTCCAGCCTCCCAAATGCTGCAATAGCAGGCTTCTGCCATCCCCCGGGCATGCTCACCACCGCTTGGAGACCTTGGAGTAGGCGATCTGAGCTGAGACGTTCCCCAGGTGGTCGTGGTTTCCAGCAAGCACGTACCAGGGCACGTTGCGCAGGGAGCGGTCGGAGAACACATCCTCGAAGGTCTCCTGTGGTGGACAGGAAGGGCGCCCAGTCACCAGCCGCCCTCATGCTCCCACCAACCAGGGGCCGGGGACTCAGGAGCCATCGAGAGCTCCGGGCACCTGCAGGCGGGTCCACCCCGCTCTGCCCTCCCCAAAGGAAGGCCGCCAGATTGGGCGGCCGCTTCCCAGCCCAGCACACACCTGGAACCTCTTGTCATTGACATCGTGGACGCCGGTGAAGTAGAAGTTGTCCCCCAGGGACAGGATGAAGTCAGCGCCCATCATCTGCACGGCTTTGGCGATCTCCTTCGCGTTGGCCATTTCCCGGGCTGTGTGGAACGGGGCGTTGGGGACCCCGCCCCAGTCACCCACAGCCACGAAGCGCAGGGTGGCCGTGGGGGCCGTGCAGCCAGCCAGGTGGAGCAGCAGTGACGCCTGCAGGACCAGCAGCACCATCCGTGCAGTCATCTGCGAGGGGAGAGACGAGGTGTGAACCCTAGAGCCCCCCAAGAGGAAAGAGGACCATGGTCCCTGCAGGCCTGGCCCAGCAGGGTGGATTTTGGGGGTCTTTTTTGTTTGTTTGTTTGTTTGAGACTGGGTCTCACTATGCAATCCAGGCTGGCCGTGACATATATAGCCTAGGCTGGCCTTCAACTTGTGGTGATCCTCCTGCCTCAGCCTCCTGGGTGCTGAGATGACAGACGTGAACCACACACTTGGCCTTGGGGTGCCACAGCCCCCAAGACTCTGTGGCACGAATTGGAACTGGCTGAGAGGACAGGAAGAGTGACGGGAAGCCACCTCGCCCTGCCTCACCCCCTCGCACCCAGAACTCACCTTAGCGAGCCGCAGCCTGGTGAGCAGGGGACGCGGGAGGCAGGTGGACTCCGGGGCTGGACGGGCGTCTGGCCGCCTTTATTCCTGGGGGCGGAAGTGGATCCTCCGGAAGGGTGATGCGGTTTCTCCAAGGACAAGCACGGCGCCCAGGGCCCCCCCCCCGGGTCATGTGAGCCCCACTTCCCTAGAACTGGACATGGGATCCCGGGCGGGGGTCAGGGCTGGAGTGGGAAGTCGCTGGCGCATGGCCGCTGGGGCTGTGCGACTGTTTGTGTCCCCTGCCCTCAGCGCGCCCGTGCACCGGGGCGTGCGCCGCGCCCCGCCGTGTGTGTGCCCTGCAGAGGTGCACGCCCACCCGTGTCTGGGTGGGGGCCGCTTCCTGTGTGCGGCACCGCTGCCGAGCCTGCCGAGCCTGCCGCCCCCGCGGCCTGTCTGGGACGCTCGCTGTGTCACGAGGCCGTGTGACCAGGGCCAGCCTGGCTGTGACCGGCGTCTCCGCGGTGTGGCTGGCCCTCACCTGAGCCGTGTTGGTGACATCGGAGTGTGGGAACTTCCTGGGTCCCTGCGCTCGCCCCTGCCCCCCATGCACGGCGGGGTGGTGGCCCCTCTTTTCCGGGAAGTGCTGCCTGTGCCCTCCCCAACCTCCCACGCCTGTCCCGCGGGAGCCCCCGGGCACAGGGCCGTGTGACTGCCCCCTCTGACCCTGACACCTCCAGCAGCTGGCCGTGGGGCCTCCCGGGAAGGCAGTCTCTCAGGGAGGGCTGCGGGGCTGGGCGGTGCAGGGCGGGGCCTCCCTTTCACCTCCCGGTTCCCCTGCCAGCTCCCGCTTCTGCTTGGGACGCGGCCCAGGCTTGTCCTCTCAACACTCACTCACAGCCAAGTAGCTCGGTGCCTGCTAAGTTCATAAGCTGCCCAGGCTGGGGGCAAACGTGAGATCCTCCTGCCTCAGCCTCCCAGAGTTCCGGAATGACAGCGGATAGGGGAACCCTCATCCAGACCAAGAGCGCAGGCTCAGAGAAGATGAGTGACACGACCTGAGTCACGAGGATGGCTGTTGGTGACACTAAAACCCCCAACCCCACACCGATGCACCGATGGTGCAGCTGGGACAGACAGGAAGGAAGTGGGTGACAAAGGCAGAAAGATACTCTCCCCTCCCCCAGCTCACCTGCCACCCGTGGTCAGCTGGGTGCAGAGCCCAGGACTCCGGCTCGCCCTGTTTTAATGAGGAGGAGGAGGAGGAGGAGGAGGAGCTGGCCTGGGCCCCGCCCGCGCCAGCCAGGTGCACCCGGTGGAGCCCCGCCCTGGGCTGTAACCTGGGCCAAGGAGCTCAGGAGCACCCAGACCCAGGCCCTGGGGCTGAAGGTCCAGGCCAGAGAGGGATCTCTGGGACCGGTTTCTTCCTCCTCCTCCCCCCTGGAGTTGTCACCTGCCTGGGGCACTTGGGCACCCTGAGGCCACAGCCCTGGGGGAGCAAGGCCACACTGTAGCGGGAGGTGTGACACCTTCCCATTCTGTCTCCCTGGGCTTTAAAGTGGTGAGCCCAGCATTCAGAAGGCTGAGGCAGGAGGATCACTGGGAGTTGGAGGCCAGCCTGGGCTACACAGTGAGACCCTGGCTCAAAAAACAAAACCCAAAACAAAAGCAAGGTGGGTGTGAAAAGCCGGGGGCACAGCTCGGTGGAAGAGCGTTCGCCTAGCTTGGGGGAGACCCTGGGTGCCACCCCCAGCACTGCAGCAGGATAAAAGGAGAGAAGTGTCCAGTAGTCCCTAGAATTTCAAGAATTTAAACACACACACACACACACACACACACACACACACACACGTGCCCCAGGAACAGCAAACAAGAACTTTCCTTTTTTTAGCATGGGGGGTTCAGCCCAAGGCCTTCACACTGAGCTCCTTTCTACCCCCTTTTTATTTTTTATTTTGAGGCAGGGTCTAAGTTGTTAAACTGCCCAGGATAATCTTACTTTTGATCCTCCTGCCTCAGCCTCCCAGAATGCTGGGATGAGAGGCGTGTGCCTCTGCACCCAGCCAAGGAAGCTTAGTTGCTATCCCAGCCTCCCGGCACCGTTTTGAGAGTGGACTGGACCCGGTGACTGTCACCCAGACCCTCACAAGGGGACACCTGGCAGGCACCACCTTACGGGGTGAGCCCAGGGGACGGTCACCGGGAGTCACACGGGAACCACGAGGCTTCCTTAATGTTTCAGCTCTCCTCCACGGCTTCCTCCCGAGTCCCACAGCTGCCGGCCACGGACCATCCCACTTGGGGGGACGGCACATAGAGGCCAGCCAGCACTCCGCAGACGCATGCACAGCTGTCACAGATGAGAGGACACAGGAGGACAGGGCACAGTGCGGGAGACGGGAAATCCAGACAAGCCTGGAGTTCTGTGAACACCCACACAACTAAGACACGTACAATTTTTAAAAATTAGGGGGTGGGGATTCAGCTCAGCCGCACAGCGACTGCCTGGCAAGCACAAGGTCATGGGTTCGATTCCCAGTACGGAGGGGGCGGGGGAACAAAACAAAAAAAAATTAAAGAGATGGAGTCTCAGACCTTCTTGGCTGAGCCTCTCAGTTCAGGCTGGTCTTGAACTTTGTTCTTTTTTTTGTTGTTGTTGCTGTTTTTTTGTTTTTCGTTTTTCTTCTGGTACCAGGAATCGAACTCACGACCTTGCACATGCCAGGCAGACGTTTTCCCGCTGAGCTAAATCCCCAACTCCTCTTTTCTTTTTTTGAGACAGGGTCTCACTATGTAGCCCAGGCTGACCGCAATCCTCCTGTCTCAGCCTCCTGAGTAGCTGGGGTTACAGGCATACATCACCTCTCCTAGCTATAACTTTTAGCTTAATGGCCTTAATTGGCTTTATTTTTAATTCTGTAAGTGGGTAACACTTCATTCCATTAAACAGAATAACCATTTCCCCATTTACAACTTTGTCATTTAGGCTTGGCACTTTTGATATTTTTTAAAATTAGAAAAACATGGGCTGGGGATTTAGCTCAGTGGCAAAAGCGCCTGCCTGGCAAGTGCAAGGTTGTGAGTTCGGTTCCCAGTACCAGAAACCAAAAAACCAAAAACCAAAAAAAAAAATAAATAAATAAAATAAAATAAAATAAAATTAGAAAAACATGAAAAAACATGCACATAATTAAAATTAAGCAGATGTAGGGCTGGGAGCACAGCTCAAGGGTAAAGGACATGCTTAGCGTGCACAAAGCCCCGTTTCTATCCCCAGCACCCCATAAATGAAGTAATTAATTAAATAAACCCCGCTTGGGGCCAGGGATAGAGCTCAGCGGCACAAGCGCCTGCCTGGCAAGTGCAAGGTCCTGCGTTCAATTCCCCGTACAAAAACAAAACAAGACAAAAAAGAACCTGCCTGTAACCTCAGCACTTGGGAGGCTGAAGCAGGAGGATGGCTGCGGGTTCAGGGCCAGCCTATGTTGCACAGGGAGACTCAGTGTCACAAAAAAAAAAAAAAAACAAAAAAACACTTAAACCTGATTTTGTGCGGGGAACCTGATGCAACCTGGACCTTCTTGGTGAGTCTCTCGGCCCACTTCTGGGTTTGGTTTGCGGTCAGCTCCCCTCTCTGTTCGCTCAGGACCCCTTTTCTGCAGATTTCTGGCACCACTGGACCCAGATGTGGCCGCAGTCCCCCTCCCCGTCCCCTCTGCCTATTTTCCCAGTGCCCACGTCCATCCCATGCTCAAGTTCCTCCTTGGGCTCTGTGGCCCGGGCTCTGCCCTCCCTACTCTCCCCGCAGCCCCCTCTTCTCCCTTAGATCCCTCAGCTTCCAGGGCCTCAACTGCCTGCCAGGAAGACCGGGGAGCTGCTGACCTCAGGGCCTTGGCACCTGCTGCTCTGTCCGCCTGAGGGCTCTTCCTGCCTCGTCACTCACCAAGTGCCTGCCTGCCTCATTGTGTTCATTTTTCTTTTGGAAATTTATTGCTAAATGTGTCAAGGTGCTGGGGATGGAACCCAGGGCCTCACGCGCTGGGGAGATGCTGGCTGTTGGGCGGCAGCTCCGGCCCAGCCTTAGCACCCGCAGTCTCTGCTGCAGTGTTCATCGCTCCGTGACAAACGCACGCCTGCGTCTCATTTTCCCTCCATCACTCACCTCTGTGAGCTCCCAGAGGCCCAGAACTTTCTCCGCGGCGTTTCCTGCTGTTTCTCCAGCATCTCAAGCCAGGAGCCCATGCCAGCGATTGCTGAGTCATTATTTGGGAAGCGGCGGAATGAAGGGCTGCGCCTCAGTGAGGTCTCTGGTCTTTCCTGCTCCTGTTCAGCCCCCACCCCAAGCTGGCTTCTGTTTCAGCCCTGGATGGAATGTTCCACACGCTCCTTTACAGCTTGATTCAATTCTGCTTGGGTATTTTTTTTTCTTTTTTTTTTTGGTCTTTTTGAGGCAGGGTCTTGC